AGCTCTGCAGGCAAATAAATGGTCATTCGCTCAATGAGATGGTCATTCGCTCTTTCGACCTATGTGAAGGCGAAGCCTTCACATTTAGGTCGCCCCAAATGCCTAGAGAGAACACAAATGGAAAGGAGGCGACTAGCGACTAAATCGCGTCTCGCGCCATCGATATTGCTCTAAAATATTTTTTTTCGCGTAAAATTAATTTTTTTTTTTTGACACGCGTGTACCAACTAGACAGACATTCTTCGCTTTTTTTCTAGAGAGTATTTAGGTGAAACCCTAAAAAAGATAAGGTAATTATGTTCAGTTTCTAGAACGACATAATGTTTCTTGAAATATAGCGCCGGCAAAAGGAGTAAGACGTTAATTCACAATTAAAAATTAGCGCAAAAGTGAACTGCGTTACTTTTTGGTGGCAACGGTAACGCGTCCATTTTATTTGCAAGTAACGTGTTAGTTCCTTTTTTTTTCGGTAACGCCTACAACACTGGATCAATGTAGTTAGTACGCGATGGACGAATTGCCCAGGGCTGATCTCTCAGGTCGCGCAAGATGATGTGAACATTTTTATACTGAAGAGCCCTACGATACGTTGTTAAAAGTAAAAGAAAAAATTGCTGAGTGATCATGCTGTTTGCACGTTCCTATAAATCGGTGAGTGATCGTGCTCGGCTGCAAGTGTGTGAACGGGCCTTTATGTGCATAACATCGCGGGTCTAGGGTTTCTTCATATGCGCTTTGCTAAGGGTAATGACATCTGGCCATTTTGTCCCAAACGCTTAACTTTTTTTTTTTTTTTGAAGCGTGTGAAGGAGCGTGTTCCTGCACGCGCTCGTCGCGCTGACTGTGCTGCGGCGACATTTTGTTCTTGGCGATTTATTTGTTTTCTCTCTGTGAGCGCGTGCTGTCGACATCGAATGCTACAAAGAATGGCAACATCGTGAACCCCTGTGGAAGAAACATTTAGGTGATGACCCTCTGTCCGACGCGGCGACCACATTATGTTCGGCGCACCGAGCGCTTCACTCCCACGGGGATAGATGGCGCCCAAGTATGGGTCCCTCCGAAACCGACCGCTCCGGCTGTTTCTTTCTGCGGTGGTCCCGCAACCACTCGCTCACCGCTTCTTGTACCTCACCGCCACCACGCCGCCACCAAGTCGCCAGAGCCCGTAAATCTGTGTTTTCTTTTTTGTCCTTCGGGTTAAGGCTCACCTTCGTGCACCATGGTGGCACCTGTGATCGACACAGCCATAGCTCGGCAAACCTCACTCATGAGGGCCCTCATTCACCCTCATCTTCACCGGTGAGGTGAGGGTGAATGAGTTTCTGAACCAGGAAAATTCATGAGTGTGAGGGTGAGTGATTGCCGTGAGGGCTGCGAGTGCATGAGGACCGTGAGTGCATGAGGGCCGTGAGGGCCGTGAGGGCGGTGGGTGCGTGAGGGGTGTGAGAGCCATGAGTGGCGTGAGTGGCGTGAGGGCGGTGAGTGGCGTGAGGGTCATGAGTGCGTGTGGGGTTTGAGGGCCATGAGGGGCGTGAGGGGACGGAGGGCGTTGAGTGGCATGAGAGGTGTGAGGGCCGTGAGGGCGGTGAGTGCGTGAGGGATGTGAGGGCCATGAGTGCGTGAGGGCGGTGAGTGCGTGAGGTCCCCTTCAGACGGAGCAACTTTTTCAGCAATTTTGGTGTTGTTGGCTGGTTGTTCCCTAGCTTTCCATAGATCGACACGAATGGCTGAGATCGGGTCAGTGCAGGTGATGATGACAACAAAAGATTTGGTTCTGGTGTGAAATGTACCGTTTTTGGTAATAAACTGTTTCAGAAATATGCATTAGTATACTCATCGAGATTTAAATGCATAAAGATGCGTTTATGGCGCGTAATTGTGTGTCTAAATAGTGCAAGAAGAATAAAATTTCATGATGATGATGGCAAATTGCAGCAATTGGTTGCGGCGTGTGAACGCGGGCGGCCTATGTTGCTGGTGTTGTGACGTCAAGTTTCTGGGCGAAATTGCCTCACCTGAAACAGGTCTGAGTGGCGTGAGGGCCGTGAGGGCGGTGAGGGTGAGTGAAGGGCTGAAGGTGTGTGACAGAGGATAAAGGTGAGTGAGGGGCTGAAGGTGAGTGTAGCTGGGAGGGTGAGGGTGAGTGAGGGCGACCTAAAATGCCGACCTCTGGACACAGCACCAAAGCAAAACGCGAGCAGCAACTGGTCGCACACCACCACACCGCGAAAAAGGCGAGCACGCTACGCCACCGACACCGTGGCCGCCGAGGAGGGGCCTCGTACCTCAGCGCCCACCGCGGCAGCGCGGGACTAACTACTCCTGGGGGGCTAAGCTCGCCTCCGGCGGGAATCTCTCCGATGCCACGTCACGAGGGAGGGGACGAGCTTCTTTTAACTCCACCCCGGCGAGTTTCCCACTCCCCCTCTTACATTTCCTACCCCCCCCCCCCCCCCCGGCGGCGGCGGGTTCCCCAGCGTAGCTCCGATTTTTCCCTACGCTCCGCAGTGAAGGGTTTTTATTTTATTTAAATCGGGGGATCGGTGGCCGGCTGAGCTAGCGCACACCAGCTCGGAGCACGTCGAGCGAAAGGTCCGTTGCAGAACCCAGGATGCTGGGTTCAATCCCCACCCCTGCCTGTTTCGATGTTGATGAGCATCGTACCGGCGTGCAGTCGTGTAACACTACTGCGGGATGGGCGTTAAGGACCCCAGGCTAGCGGTTGTACGGCACTGCATGGCTAAATTTCTCATCTACAGCTGGGAGAATCTTCCCCGTTGAGGCAGACCAAGTTTTAGGCAGTATCAACATACATACAGCCCAATTTTTACAAACATTGCTTGGATGTGGGCTAGTTGACTAGACATTGTGATGGTTTGCTGCGCCACGTAGATGCAAGAAAAACGCTCTTGATAAAGATATAAACTAAAGCAGAGTATAGACTAAAACAACATACAGGAATGGCGCAGACTAACAACTGTGTAATTTCTTTCTTATCTTTCTCCCTCCACACCGCCACACAGCCACAATTTTTTTTTTTTTTTTTAGAATAGGGTGCACGTGGAGCGAAAGCTCGCGCTGCAGAACCCAGGATCGTGGATTCACCCCCGCCCCTGCCTTTTTCGATGTTGATGAGCATCGTACCGGCATGCGGTCGTGTATCACTACTACGTGGTGCACGTTAAAGACCCTAGGCTAGCAGTCATACTGCACTGGCTAAATTGCTTATCTACAGTAGGTGACAATGTCGCAATGTTCTGGCATGTTCTCCTGCTGTATAAACAACTAACGGCCAATTTGTTTGTCAAAATACGGTGTGGAAGAAGAAAGATGAGAAAGAAATTACACAGTTGTTAGTGTGCGCCATTCATGTATATTGCTTTTCTTCTATCATCTGTTTTAGTTTGAATTTTATCAAGTGCGTTTATCTTGCATCTACGCAGCACAGCAACCCATCAAAATAATTGTAAAAGCCTGTAGGTAATGGTAAATTGCGTTCCTGGTTGCAGATTGCCGTAAAAACACATTTGTTTCTAGGATTCACTTTGTAGAATTTGGATGTAGGATTCACGACGGGGGGACAGTTCATTCACGGCTCCATCGCCTCAAGCCCGGTTCGCCACGCAGTTCATCGCACAGCCACCTTACCACGCCTTTCGAGAGGCGATAGTGTTGTTGAAAATGAACGTCGTCCAAGTCCAACACATTGGCGTGGTTTAAATACCTATGCTGACGGCAAAACACGAACGAAAACGCTGCCATTTTGGACGCTTCTCCCTGATATCGCGCCCAACTCGCCCAAACTCGCCTAGGTCGGAGCCGGCAAGCTTTTCCCATCCGCGGCGGCTTCTGCCAAGTCACAATGACGTCACCGCATCTCGCCGCGAGTTCCGAATATGCAACTCTCCGACTGCCTCAAACCCTCCATTTAACGTCACGATCTGGGGAGTGTCGGCGCGTGTCGTCATGCACGGCGCCGACCAATCGCGGCGGTCGGCGAGTTTGGCGGAGAACTCGCCTCGATCTCGCCGCGCCGAGCTTAGCCCCCCTGGTTCGAGCTATTAGCGGCGAGATTAGGGTGCCTAGATGTCTGTCTGTCTCAGGGTGAAGACATCCATTGTTGTCCGGAATGTGCCAGCGCGTGACGCTCTCGCGCACTCGGTGCGTGACTTGGGCGGTAAGATGGCGTCTATGCATCAGCCAAAGCTACGCGCTCGAGCTGAGTGACACCGGATTGCGCGCACTTCAAAATGCATAAAAAAACGATTGGGCGGAAAAATGGCTGAGATGTCACCACTCAAGCAAAAGCGCGCGTGTGTATGAAGGCACTCTAGGCGAGATGTTTTGGTGGCGCCCTCCTATGGTTCCCCCTTGTGACGTCATTACCTTGCGAACAACAAGTTCGATGGTGTTTGTAATTAGCATGGTGGAAGCTTGAAATCATTGCGCTCTCAAAGGAACACTGCCAACACCGTCAAAATTAAAGTTCTTTCATTCCTCTTATTTCCGTCTATGATAAATCCTTTTCTGACGGAAGAAGATGAGGTTTTCGAACGGCGATAGGACGTGTTTCTTCGCTGCTCCCAAATTTTCAACCTAGCGCTCGCTTCACTATCCTACGGGACCCCTGCGGTTCCGGCCCTGGCCTCGGGCCACCCCTGCCCGGGAGGTGACCCACCACAACCACCACTGGATGCCTCCAGTGCCGAAATAACCACCATAAACCAGCAGCAGCAGCCACCCCGAGCCCACTGCACCTATAATGACAGAAGACTGGAAGGGACCTCGCACCCGCAGCACGTAAGCCTTCCACCATCCTGTGGACAACCACAGAGGTTATCATCATCGGTTATGGAGCATACCCTTAATGTTCTTGCGACCATAATTGAGAAGAACCCGGCATTTCTTGTGGCACTGAACCAGCTTGTCGCGCAGTTCATGCCACCTCCGCAACCTGAGAGCAGCCCACCTCCACTGACGCGGCAACATATCCCACGACTGCGATGTTCATCGAGAAGCAGAAATGAAAGGTCCCGCTCTCCTAGATCAGCGCCTGGACAAAACGACACGATGCCTACTCAAGGTCACCGGCAAATCCAAGATGGCGACCATTCCACTCCGGCCCACCTGCCGGCACAAGATGGCGGCTGGCCCTCGCAAGGAACGCCCCAAGACAGCACGTCGGGGAGTAATGGCGGCTCATCTACAAAACACGGGATGGAACAGCCCGGCCTGCGGAATGCTGAAGATATAGACTTTGAAGAATGGCCACTCCTGGGTGCAACACCTAAGAAAAGAAGGTGGAATCCATTAGCTACAGAAACCGCGGGAAGGTCAACACCCACCTCACATCCGACGCAGACTGTCGTGCTGCGCTCCATTGGAAAGAAAGAGGTGAACTCTTTCACTGGAAAAGAAATACAAGAAGCAGTCAAGAAGGCTGGAATACAAAATCTAGACGGCTATGCCGTCCATCGCAATGAAAAAGCGAACAGAATCGCCATTACAACACGGGACCCTCTCATGCTGGAGAAACTTCTGCAAGTGAAAGAAATAAGGAAAGGCGAGGATACACACGCACTACAGCCGTACAAAGCTTTGGCGGGAAACCAATGCCGGGGAGTTATTTACCTCCTGGGCCAAGGAAACACGGTGACGCCTGAATCACTACAGGCCGACATCACCTGCAAGGGTCGAAATATCGCATCAGCGAGGCCCATTGGGACAAAAGGCAAAACCGTTCTAGTGACATTCGAAGGCAAGATTCTTCCGAAGAAAGTGACCTACATGTGTGAGGTCCTAAATGTCCGCGAGTATCGCCCGCGTCCGTTGGTGTGTTTTCGTTGTCACACGATCGGACACAAAATGGATGTATGCCCACGAAGCGCTGCGCGCTGTGGAACGTGCGGCTCTGAGCACGATGCTATGGAAACATGCTCGCGGAGCCCACAGTGCGTGAATTGCAGCGGAGCTCACCTGGCCACGAGCAATGACTGCCTGAAAAGAGCAATCCCAGAACGGCGCAACAAGCGGCCAAGGGCCAGACAAGAACAAGGAAAGGGTAAGCTCCCGCCTCCCGAAGCACCTATGGCACCACCGATGCTGCAAAGTGGTGGGACATCGTATGCAGCGGTAACCGCAGCAACTTCCGAGCCAGTAGCAACACCTGCTCACCAACTGGAACAACACGACATCACGCTACAAACCTTGCAAGCTTAGCAAGCAAGTTTTGCACGAATGGAGAAACAATTGGCCGCGCTCACGGCGGCAATACACAGGCTCATTGACACACATAATGATAAATATTAATACACAAAACATATCCGGAACCACTCAAAAGACACCATCCTCACGTACACAGAACAAACGCTGCTCAAACACTTCACCGTGGATCCTACAATGGAACTGTGGAGGGTTGCAACAAAAGCTACCAGAACTTAAAGTTCGTCTGCAAAAACTTAAAAACCGCGCACCCGACATTATCCTCCTTCAGGAAGCTAATGTCAATAAAATCAAAGTACGGGGATACAAAACATTCATATATCCAAGTATTCAGAGACAAACAAATAACTACGGCATCGTAGCCACACTAATTAAGAAAACACATCCACACACGCAATTACATTCCCAGTCGGCGTGTTCAGGCGACCGTGAGGTCGTCTCTACACAGGTCAAGCTCGGTGACACTGTAAATATAATCCAGAACATATACACACGGCCGTCCGTGGGCCCCAACGAGGCCGATTGGATCGAGGGACTCGTAACACCTGGACAACATACCATCCTGGCCGGTGATTTCAATGCTCGTCACACTGCGTGGGGGTACCCAGACGAGAACGCCCGCGGAAGGAACATCAAGAAAGCCTGTGCCACAGCCAAGCTCAAGCTATGCAACAACCCCTGCGTTCCCACCCGGTTGGCCCAGTCCACCAGCCAAAATGACACGTCACCCGACCTAACGTGGGCATACCCGAGATTGAGACTTCAGTGGCAGGTCCAGTCAGATCCCATGGGTAGCGATCACCTGCCCATTTATCTCAAACTCGGCATCCGTACTTCCCAGAGACGGCGAGTAACCCTCCCCAAATGGGACAACTACCGCACGGCGATGAGCCGGCACAGTGACATTCCATTCACCGAGAGAATTCAGCGCGCCTTGAAAGAAGCACGCACGGAATACCAGGTGAAAGAAGACACTCCTCAGCCAGATCTTCACCTGACCAACCTATGGGACAACCGTTTAGCCGCCCTCCAGCACTACAGAGTCCGATGGGCACTGACCAACAAGATCCGCCTCAATCAAGCTACAGCCGAAGCTAAGAAGTACACGATAGAGCTCTGCCGAACAACATGGCGTGGCCTGTGTGACTTTTTCAACTACAGAACGGGCTACTACAAAGTATGGCACGTATACAAAGGCCTTTCCGGGAAAACGAAAACACGAAACACGGGAAGCAACCTTGCCCTCCGCCTCAAAATACGCGAAGAACGACTGGCAGATGAAGCGGGAGAACATTTTTTCCCACAGCAACCCAACCCTCCGCCAACCGAAACTTACACTCGACAGCCTATCTTGCACGAACAGCCAGCAGACGCACCATTTACTCTTGCGGAGCTTGTTGACGCTCTTAGCTCGGCGAACGCGAAGTCCGCGCCTGGCCCAGACAAAATCACCGTTACGGCGCTCCGGAACCTTCCCACAGACGCCATGGAAGAACTCTTAGAAACTTTTAACAAGATATGGTCCGAAGGGGAAATTCCCGCTGATTGGAAACGATCGACCGTGATTCCCATTCCGAAGGCCGGCAAAACACCACACACGGTTGCTAACCTTAGGCCTATCTCCCTCACCTCTAATCTGTGCAAGGTCATGGAACGTATGGTCACCACTCGCCTTTCATGGATCCTCGAGACCTCCAAAGCATTCCACCCCACACAAACTGGCTTCAGACCACACATGTCAACACAAGATAGCCTCCTCATGATACACTACCACATGTATGAGCGACGGCTATTCAAGAGTCAACCCCGCACACTTGTCGCCATCGACCTACGGAAGGCGTTTGACTCTGTTCCCCATCACACCGTGGTAGATGCTGCTAAGAAGCTCGGGATCCAAGGACGCCTTCTGAACTTCATTAAGACGTTCCTGCAGGATCGTACCTACCAAATAATGATCGGCAACACAAAAGGAAAATGGAAGCCCAACAACGTTGGAGTACCACAGGGTGCGGTCCTGTCGCCGCTACTCTTCAATATTGTAATGACGGATCTCGCTCGAGCCCTCGATAATGTCCCACAAGTTCTGCACACCATCTACGCGGACGATATCACCCTATGGACTACGGCCGGGGGAGCTGAACAACAGCAGCACTACATGCAGCGAGCATTGAATATTGTCACCACCTTTGCCTGCACCACTGGAATGGAAATATCTAAAGATAAAACTACCTACATGGTCATCCCAAGCAGGCGCAGGAAATCTAGCGTCAACATCAAACTTCATCTCGACGGAGATCCTATCACACCATCTAACAACGTGAAGATCCTGGGTGTCCCCTTTAACCAGAACGGGGGTGCCACGACATGGATTAAGCAAGTCAAAGGACAATGGGAGAAAGGTCTTGAACTCCTCGAAGCCATCTCCAGCAAGTCTTGGGGGGCACAAGAAGAACTACTACGCCGCCTAGTCCGAGCCCTGCTCGTATCCAAAGTGGTTTATGGTATCAATTATCTTCGATTAACGCGTGCACAGGAAGCGACCTTAGTTACAATGAACCGAGCAGCGATGCGAATTGTCACTGGCCTGCCCCGCTTCACCACCGTGGAACAGTTCGAACGTGCAGCGCAAATGAATACCATCCGAGAAATCGCACAAGAGATGGCCATCAGCCAGGAGCGCCGACTGGCGCGCACACCCCATGGACGAGTCATTCTCGAAAAGAGCGGGAGAAGTCATCTAGCGAAAGGCCCACTAATGCCCATCACACCTCCCCCGTGGGACACAGAACTGGTCACCTCAATCAAACCTACTCCCAAGCACCAAGGAATCGACAACTCGGGACGTCGCGGCCCACAGGTCAAAATGCATCTCGCAGAAATTGGCTCCCTCAAAGCGAACGTTGAGGTGTTTTACACCGATGCGGCTCGCGACGAGAGTGGCCGCAGAGCCATCGCCTGGCATTCCACCACCAGGAAAGAAGCCCAGCAACAACTAGCCGCACGCACGCGAAGCGCTTGCGCCGCAGAGCTACTCGCTATACAGATGGCAGTCCATGCATCGACGACAACACGCCAGGCAGGAATTACTGAATCTCGAATCTACACGGACTCGCAAGAAGCATTACGCGAACTTAGACGCTCAAACGCTTGCAACCCCACAGTCACAAAAATTCGAACGCTGGTCCGCCAAGCGAAACCACAACAGACAATCACGGTCTCGTGAATTCCGGGCCACGCGAGCATCCCGGGGAACGAGCGGGCGGACGGGGCCGCGAAGGCGCAGCTACAAGCAGAAAAATTGCCCTCAAAAGGTCTCGTCTTCTCGCCCGTTCAACGGGACGAGCAAGAGGAAGACGACTTCGACATTTCGAAGTCAAACGAGACGAAAGAATTGCAAGGAAGGCAAGACTCGCCGCCCTGCTGCCACATAATCCCCATCCGATCCCTCGCGGATTTCGGCGCTGGGAAAAGGTGGCTCTCCACCGTATACAAACGCTGACGATGATGACCCCCGTGTGGAGAGCCAGGGTCCACCGTCCAGCCGACACCCAAGATATCGGACCAAACCCGAACTGCGTGTGCTGCAAAGTCCCTGCAACGTGCCAACACTTAATGTGGGAATGTAGGGGGACCTCGCGGGAGCGGACTGCCGTCATCGCAGACCTCCCAAGCCACTTACGCCCTACCTCCTTTGAGGAATGGACCCAGCCGGCCACGACTGAGGAGGTGGAACTCAAGCTTACATACTCATCTATCATAACATTCCTCCGATCCTCCGGGGTCAGGACTTTCATTTGACATAATCACCCCATTTCCCTCTTCCCTTACCCCCGTCCACCTCGAGGCCTTATCAGCCAGGGGGCGGTTTCATTAAAGACGTGTTTAATCAAAAATCCTTTTCTGACGTCATAGTCAGCGTTCGGCCAATCGTGGAAGGCCGACTACAGCGACGCTTTCGGTCGCGCACGTCGTCAACACGATCTCGTCGCTCGCTCCCCGCGGGAAGAGCGGCCAGAGTCATCACCTAAATGTGTTTCTTCCACCGTGCCCTCAGCAGAGGGACATTGAGGCAACCTACTCGGATGCTTGTCTTATTCGAGTCCAGCTAAAACTGACCTGCTTCCTCGTGCCCCGAGCCAGCATGCGCAATTCCTGGACTCGCGCACTTGTAGCTCGGTCTGGCCACCAAGTGTGGCCAAAGCCTTTCGATGTGTTTGCGTTAGGCGTGGTCAGCCGACACCACACAACGAGCTCCTTCGACCAGCAATCCAGCCATCTTCTGCCACGTGATCACGCTTTCATTCCTGTCTACGCGCAGAGAAAAAAAAAAACAAAAAACAGTCATACCAAAACTGTCTCCATACATGTTGGAATCATACACATATATGAAGAAAACATGCTTGGAGCATACTTCAGACGTGTCCTCAGATCATTTTGTCATTCTTCAGCGTATGATATATGATGTATGAGCGGG